ATTATCTAATCGTTGAATTGACTAACCAGACTGCCAAACGTTAAATATATTATTCAACTTTGCGGTGTCGTGGTAGGTATCGTGTTGAAAAATAGGATTTCATTTTTACAACCGCCTTTTGGTATGCCAACCTGAAAATAATAAATATATGAACTATTCCATAACTATATCACAGAGTCGAGGAACTAAATATTAATTAAAATACCTATTTAGTTACCTATTAATGACCTAATGAATTTGTTTTACCTATACAATATTGTTTAATTTGGTGAATAACATAAATTCTGAACATGGACCACATGGTTACACGAAATTTTTTGAATGGTGGTATAATATAGTAATACTTTTATAAGTGAAAATTAACAGGGCAACAGTTTAGGTGGCCAAAGAACACATATTTCTCCCTGTCTGGCAACAAACGAATGGGTAGCGTCCTCTCAACTATAATTATTTATTAATGTATATAATATACATGCATTAATCGTTCATATATTATATGTTAATATTTATGGAATTATTAGAAACAGTTAAATTACAAAAAAAAAACTTATTACGTATTTTTTTGTAAAAAGTCACAAGGCATTGGGGTGGGGGCGCCTGCTCTATGACTATATGTCACTGATTGGGTATCAAACGTCAGTCCCGAGTCCGTTGCTTGGATTCAATCGCTCCGTGGGAAACTCAATGACATGTAGTAATAATAGGTAGTAGCCTACTGGCTAGTAGCAAAGTAAATATCTATATAATATCTAATATCGATCATGAATATCTAGTGCATACTTTCTAACGAAATAAGTTATCATTCATATTTTCTATAGCATCGGTAATTTTATCGGTACGATAACTGATATAGGAAATTTTCGTCAAAATGTCCGCGTGTGCTGTCTCCGTCGGCTGTCTTACAAACGTACGTCGTCAGTTTTTATTCAACAGTTCCAACTTTGAGTAGTTCCTTAAATAATAAAGCGAATTTACTTATTATCAAACTTAATAAGAACATTGTATATCTGTCTTTTAGCATGGGTTTTTTTAACGATATTTTAATTCTCAACCAATAGTTATAACTTATAAGTATATATAGTTTATATAGTTTATAAGCATGTAAATTATTATGATTTAAAAATTAAAATACCCATGAGAAAACACAGATAGTAATATTATGTTCGCAAATAGTCTATTTCAATCATTTCAATCTATCATAAAAGGGTTTCCACACAAATGCTAAACAACATTTTGCTGTTGTACGTTCGTAAGATGGACATAGATACAGTCATACAGATGAGGTTATGGATTATTCTTAATATTTTTACGGTGTACGATGATCCCAATATTTTGTTGTACTTTTTTTTTATTTGTACAAGCGGTTTTCCTTCTCTTATAATTATTATTTTTTATTACATGCACAATATAATTAAGATTTTTGTTTTTCATCGGCAGGTGGACTTCGGCTTTGCGAAAAGGCTGCAACCGCGAGGCAAGAAGACATGGACGTTCTGCGGCACTCCCGAGTACGTGGCCCCGGAAGTTGTGCTGAACAAGGGCCACGACCGGGCCGTAGACTTTTGGGCTCTGGGAATACTCGTGTACGAGCTGTTGGCTGGAATGTAAGTACGACTAGTCCGCTATAGGTAGGTATAATTGTAGGTAAAGGGTCACTTTTTACGGTCAGGTAAAGCTTTAGATTGCAGAACGAAGACACTTTGTACTACTATAAACATAAAATATACAATATACATGTATTTAATACATACACGTATGAAGTCACGACCATACCATGTTATTAAGCCTAAACATTATTTGGTAAATCTAAGTAGTTTATACATGCCAAGTAGGAGGGAATCGTGGGTTATTAGTGTTATTACCTATCGAAAATAATTTTTATTTGTCATTTTGACATTTTTAATTTACGTTTTAACATAACTTTTGTTAATTTTTAAACATTTTCAATTGACTTTTTATTTAATTTTAAATTTTTAAATTTTAATAATTTACATTATATTATATTCTTATTACTTAGGTAGGTATATGCCGTATACAACTTATATTCACAATATAATATATGCTTTATGTACATAATTGAACTAAGTGCCCGCGTTCTGAAATGAACATTTTTACCTGACCGTACAAAGTGACCTAGAACCGTAATTATTGTAGTTTGTTGACTAGAACAGCGGTCGGTAATGGTATTGGAACCAGAATCTATATTATATTGTTGTAAAAATCGTTATTTAGATGTGGTTGGTATTTTTAATGTTTTTTTTGTTTGTTTTAATAATTACCTACCAATTCCCATAGAGTAAAATTTTTTTTTTTAATTAATAGTTTTACTTTAAGTATCTGGGGATATAATTGTAAACCGTATACAAGGTGTCAATGTATAAATATTCACTGAAATAATAGAACTTTAAGTTTAAATTACATACAAATATGAAATATGTGTATTATGATTTATGATTACTGAGTGTGCGATAAAAATATCAAAGCAGGAAAACACTGTAGGTATGGCTGTATGGGATATGAATATATGATATTTTAATTTTAAATTGCATTAATTTGTATTACCTACATTACCTTATATTGTTTCTTTTTCTACATAGTCAATACATGTAGAGTGTAAGTTGCAAGTACAATTACAGTATGTATGTTCTAAGTAAAATTGTTTAATTGTATACTGAACAACTTCACAAAAGAAGCAACCCACATTGGGACTATTTTTTTTGTTATTAGTTAATTGATATTAGTTAAACAAGTACAACATTTACGCTCTAGGAGTCTTGGTTTTGGAAGATTACCAGAAATGTCATTAGTTGATAAGCGTTGGATTGCTGGAAGGAGTAAGAGTAAGAGCTGAAGGTTAAAATTAAAATATATTTTTACAAGAATATGATAGTAAAATAAATTATTAAATCTGTAAATTCATAAAATATGCGACAATGATAAAAAAATGTCAGTCATAAGATAGAACGAAAATTTAAATGTGAAATAACTTATTTTTTGGTATATTATTTTAAATTATTTAATTTAATATTCAAGTGTTTGTTAATCTTTACTCTACAATATCCAATTATTTCCTTTCTTGCCCATAACGGCATAACACACGTCAATACAATATATTATAATAAATATTTTTCTGACAAAAAATAATGAGATAAGAAGAACCTATAATTATGAATTTAAGTTTTAATGAAAAAGAGTAACATTCCAAGATTTTAGAAAACTGTTTCTAAAACCTATATATTATTAATTATTATTATTGTTTTAGTTGAATAGTTTTTTTATTTTTAATGCTATAGTAAAATACAACGTCTTCCCCGGCTCCACATCACATTCATGATGTATGGGTGATAGGTTTCTGTAGAATTATATATATATAATGTTTTTCGTTTTACAGACCTCCATTTAGTGGAAAAGATCCAATGGACATCTACAACGCGATATTGAAAGGCATTGGTGCGGTCAACTTCCCAAGACAAATGAACAAAATGACTCAAGGTCTCGTGAAACAGTTATGTCGAAGCGATCCGACGGAAAGGATAGGCTATCAAAAGGGTGGCATACAAGACATCAGACGGCATGAGTGAGTGGACTGTTAAGAAAAAGAAAATTTTTTTTTTGCTTTCGTATTAAATCGACTTTGAAAAAAGTACGGGTGGTGATCGGTAGAACTCTGACTCGAATTTGAATCCCAGTCCACTGCAAATATATTTTTATATTTATCATTTCACCCGCAGATGGTTCAAAGGTTTCGACTGGACCGGTTTAAGAAACAAGAGTATAATTCCACCCATAGTACCCCACGTAAGTTTGCTGCTGCATCGACAGTAAAACACTGTGTGGCTGAGTGACCACGTATCCGATACATATTTTATATCATTTATGATCGATTTTTTTATCGTTTTTACAACCTTAAACAGATCAACAATCCACTAGATTCGTCAAATTTCGATGTTTATCCCGAAGACGGAGATGTGCCACCCAACGAATTATCAGGCTGGGACTCGGAGTTTTGAAGCGGATGGCCGCAGTGTGAAGCAAGATACCTCCTCTAAATCTATTGCCGACTGCTGCAGGACTGTATATATTATCATTGTTAATATTACTATTTACTACTATTATAATATTATTATTGTTAATGAAATCGAAAATGTGACACAAAGTATTCATTGTCTAGACTCTAGACTTTGTTGTGTAAACAAACACCTTTCACAATTTCCTTGGAGGTAAACATCAATGATATATAATTTTGTATGTAACGCTCACACACAGTGTGTTAAAGATAATATCTGTTAATTTCACTATTTATTTTGTATTTTTGTTAAGACTTTATTTTTACTTATCAAAAGACAGTCGAGCACCCAATTGTCTTCCAAACAATAAATAATTTATAAACGAAATAAATACATGTGTACTAGCATGGTACTATTACACAATAATTACAATATTATTATTTTATCTTTATGTATAAATATATATTATATAATATATATATATAAATAATTTAGAATTTCATTATGCACGAATAAATAAATTAAATAGAATTTAGTACTTAATCTTTGTATACAAATGAAAAATGGACAAGAAAAAAACAAAATTAATTAAATTAAATAAATCCTAAGGTATAAATAATAACAACAAAATAGATGTAAAAAAAGTCACGAACCAGTTGTAAAATTTAAACAACGCAAATACAATATTTAGGTAAATACATATAGGTTTAATTTTAAAAAAGAAAAGAAAAATTACTTAACCATTTTATAAATCAAGTAGGCACTCGATACAAACATAATTAAGCAGTTAAGCTTGGTTAGAATAAAGTTAAATAGTTTTCTACAAAAATAAAGAAAATAAAAAACAATCAGCATTAATTTTTTTTTAATCTTGTGCATTAGCAAAAAAAGTTTAATTTACGAGTAATAATAGCTCATAATATTAGCTTACATTTTTGTTATGCGATCCTAATAAGTAGACATAAGTTACCTAATTACTTGATAATCCATGTGTTACAGAACGTTTTTGTCCCCTAATTCAGAAACATCACTGTCATAACTATTTGAAGCAGCTTTGCCTATGAAAAATATTTTAAATAATTATCTGTACCTCTAAAAATGATATATTAAATTTACTTTTATCAGTTTTATCAGATTGCTCAGTTGGGCTTGGTGGGGGTGTGGTTACTTTAAACGATACTCCATTGGATGTCTTCGAATCATACTCTTTAACTTCCGCAGCATATTTATCATCTGTTAAGTATTAATAAATGTTAACATGTAATGACAAATAATATCAATAAAAGATTCAACAACTTACCTAGAATTTTGGGTTTAATCACAACCGTATCAACTACCATTTGTTTGTTTAGAGCATTTATCAACTCCTCATCAACATTTATGGGTTGATTAATATTATTTGTTTCTACTTGTTTGACTTTCTAAAAATAAAATATTATTATTATAGTTCATCCACAAGTTATGAAATTAATTAATATTAAATACTTTATGGTTAGAAAGAGAAGTTTTTCGACCAAGAGACCCATCTCTAGATGGCCCTAATTCCTCTTTTAGAGAATCAAATCCAGACTGATCTAATTGTACTTTTGCTACCGCTTTTTCCATGTCATCAGTTACTATCTCAATATTGTGTATGCACAGATTCACTATATCTTCACGATTGATTGTTCGCAATGCCTTTTCTAGTGAATTACCAGTTGCTTGCTGTCCAAACGTTTGTAACCACAACCTAAGCATGACCATAGCCTGTCGTTGGGTGTTATCTGGATATTCTGATTGGATAATACTGATGTCTGATTGAAGAATCCCTAATTCAGATGCTAAAGACGGCCAATTATCACCCAGCATGTTTGAAATATCTGATAAACGGATATCTGCTCTACGTATAGTATCAATTTGTTCTGTGAAATAATAATAATTATTAATATATATATATTTATATATTTGTATAGTTAAAATGTAATTCAGTATCATACCAAAACCATTATCATAAAAATTGTAACTTCGATCAAGGCTTAATAAATCCAATTCAGATTTGGTTGTTACATTAACAATATCTTCGGGAATGGTCACGTTCAATACACATAAAGGTGATTGAGCAGGATCACCTCGATTTACTTTGGGCTCACGCATGAACAGAATCCGTGCGACATTAGTATCTTCCAGGTCACGAATGCGAACAGTAAATGGTAAACGATTTTCACGGAAAGCAGTGAAATTTAATTCTAGTTGTTCACCAGTTTTAAATATAGGTACTAGATTGCCAGCAAACTCCACAAATATATTTTTGTTTTGCAGCACTTCAACATCTCTGCTTTTAGCTACTTCAACAAAGTGCTCTTGGTTTTCTAATGTTTTTTCTTCTTTATCATCTGTCATACAAAATACTCTAAGACGTGCCTCCATAACATCTGTTCTTTTAGCAAATACTACAAACCTAACAAGCAATAATAAAATAGATAAAATAAGCAATTAAATGAGTTTGTTGTTATATTTTTTACTTTGCCATGAATGGAACATAGTTGGCTTCAATAAAGAGTTGTGTAGCAATGTTTTTGACTTGACTAACATTTCTGCAGTCTATCAACCAAAACCTTGCAGATAAAGTTGTTGTAAAAGTTACACAATCCTTGACAAAAGTTAATGGTGTCCCTCCAGTAACATCATCCCACTGGGCTTTAGACTGACCGCCTGAATGTATGTAATATTTGGTTTAAGTCCAATCAGCTAGAGAAAACAACAAGGTAGATGATTACTAACCTGACATACTGCAAAGCAATCTCAATGTAGGAGCATCGCCTGAATACTGGTTTATCATTCCTTTAGTAGTGGCTTGTGGCAGAGGAATAGTCAGAGTAATAGCTTTATGAAACTTTCTTCTGCGAGGTTCGATGGTAACGACAGGAGACACTGCGACACGGTTGCCAAACAATTTTGCTACCAATTCAACAGGAATAGGTTGAGCCTAGATAAATTTGATAAAAATGTACATTACAATCATGAGCAATTATCAATTTGTCATACCTGCAAGCCAACTTTTATGCGTTTTGTTAATGCATTGGATGGAAATAATGCTTGCACCTGTGGTACAACAGTAGAAGACATAACTCCACCTTCTGGACCAACAGTATGTATTTCTTGACGTAATCTTGAAACAATAGCAAAGTATTGAGGAAAATCTAATGTCAGGATTCGTTCAATGCGACTAGTTCTGAGGTCTTCAATCTGCCTCAGTTCTTCTCCTTCAAAGCTATCATTAAGTACCTCTTGTACAGCTTCTTCGTTAGCTTCCAAACTATGCTCTTTCCATGTCGTTCCATTTTCTGACCGTAATACAACTAGCTCTCTTTCTCGTCCTCGCAGTGAAGCAAAATGAGGTACTTCAATGATGACTGGTCTGTATAAAATTAAAAATAAAAGCAATATTCTAACCGAAAACATTTTGAAATATTATAACTCAAGAAATACCCCAAAAATTTGGCTCCAGCTGGGCCAAGTTCGAGTATTCTACTGGCTAAAGCTTCTCCTTCCATCAAAGGGGGTGGATTAACCATTTTGCCTCTCCGCAAATATCGACATGTGACTCGCATAGGACTTGGTGCCTTTCGTGGTGGAATAATCACTCTTACACCTGATTGTCTGCATCCTCGCATTGCTCCTCCACGAGCATCCACCAAAAAACTAACCAGGAAACTAAAATAAAAATTAAACAATTAATATTATCTTTAAAAATGAATGAACAAAAAAAAATAAAACAGTGCACTAGAAAATTAAGAGATAATGTGCTAATTAAAGTCAGTACGATTATTAGGTATACCCTACAATCAACTCATGCCCTAAATGGTTCAAACATGCTAAAAAACTAAAAATTAAAAACTTCAGTAAAATTTTAAAGGAACTATTGTATTTTATAATACATTCTATTGATGCAACGATAAAATACACAAACTCTATCAATAGAGTACATAGTAATTGTGTACTTTATTCAACTTACTTTTTCCAGCGACTTTTTCTGTACAAATGCGAATGCCGTTCAAATTTTAATTTAAAAACATAAAATTTAAAATTAGTGCTGTTATTTACATTGTCTTATAAACAGATAAATTTCAGAATTAAATTGTATTTATAAAGTAGTTTATAAATAAACTTTTAGCTTACACAATGTAACTTAGCATTAATTATTAGTTAATATTATAGTACTTATCTATTTATAATTGATTATTTAGATATTATATTAATAATCAATGATAAAAAGTTAATATTTTAGAATTGTATAACACGATCATAATACATATATATATATATATATGTAACCAGATTAATAACATGAGTAATGATAAAAATTATAACTAATTCTTATATAGTAAATCTAAATTATATTATAATAGAATCTACTCATGCAGTGATGTTAGAGTAGTATTATCAAAACTAACAAATAAATCAGTACACTACTGTGTTACCTTACCATTCAAAGTTCCTAAACTTAATGTGAAAATATATTCAACAAAAATACTAAATAGGTGTTTTTAAATATGAGTTTGTTAATATAAAATAATAAATTGGTACATAACTATTATAGAGCACAAAACATAATGTATTAAATTGTTCATAGCACGCACACCTATAGTATGGCATTAAGAGCACAGCAAATAGTGTTAGAAATTTAAAATAAATGTAATATAAAAACAAAATATAAATAGAGCATTAACGAAAAAAAATGAGTAAGAAAGAAATAAAAGATTAAAATGATGTATCAAGTTAGTGTTTGTTGTGTTTCATTCAAAAACATTCACTCAGTCTACCTTTCGCGCCACATTCCAGTAGTATTTCCACAAGGGCCGAGCATTGCCAACGATCTCTCAAGTCTATCCAACCTGTCGGTATAAAATGCAAATGGGTTTTCTCCAATGCACAAGATGCACATAAATAACAATGCATTCTCGTACACAAATTAACATATAATAGTTATTGTACATAAATAATTACATAAGTCTGTAGTTATAATTATTAAGCTACTTATAAACAACATGGCATGCCTTAAAAATAAATAAAGTATTTTATACAATTTGTCATAATATTATATTTAATAACACTAATTTTGTTTTAAAATCATAGTAGGATAAAATATTTGTTGTGGAGCGGTGTGGACTTAACTGCGGAAATGCTTTGAGTGTATGTATCGGCCAGTGTTGCTAGCTCCCGGATGGGTGACCACCCGGGATTTTTAGCTGCAAATCCTTGCCACATATTCAAAATGTGTTTCAAAAAACTGTTCCAACCGTTTCTCCCCCCCCCCTACAAAGAAAAAACCGCTAATGGCCATAGTTGCCGGACTTAAGCTCAATAAAAATATATAAAAATAAAAATGTTTGTTGTCTTGCGATTATTAAATATAATGTATATTTTAAAATTAATTAAATTTAGTGATGGGTAGTACCATCAAACCAAACTTAAAATTATTTTTTCGAAATTAATCTGAACCGAACATTCATATTTTCCACTGAACCGAATTGAAATAAACCTAGAATCATTTTAAGCTGGACTTGAACTCAACATTTTTTATCATTTGCAAATTAAAACAATCATAAATCCAAACCGTGATACTATAAGAAGTTACTATACTTTAGAAGTTTCAAGTACCCACGAATAATATTATACAATCAAAACAATATAACTAAAATAGTTATTCTAGGTTTTTTTATATTTAAGATCATCCGAATTTGAACTTAAAATGACTATAAAATAAACTATGCTTATGTATTTTTTAGATTTTTTGGTAACAGAATTAACTACATAAGTGGAATCTTGTTTTAAATTTTCAATCCTTAGATATAAAAGTTGAACATTTTATACATTTTTAACAACAAAATAATTATTCAATTTTGAATTTGATAAAATTTATCAAAATTCGAACTTTAAATGCTTATAAAAAAAAATTGTGCCTGTGTATATTTAATATTTTTCAACTGCTATTGTAACAATATATCAGGAGCCTTGTATTGAATTTTTACACTTTTTGGCCCAACAAATAAAATTTTAATGATATTCATAGAAAAAAAATAAAAAATGTAAATATGAAATTGTCCGTTAACAGTTCAAAACAAGTCAAAATATTTTGAAAATTTTATCACGTATAAGAATCGATAAAATAAACATTCAGTGAAATTTTCATGTAACTACAGTTATACGTTTTTGAATTACAACAAAATAAGAAAATCACTACATGAGAAATCGAGTGAATACCCAATGTTGTAAAAATTTAAATTCCAAACGCTCATAAAAATTTAGATTGACTTTCTTAAGGACATTTTTTTTTGATAAAAGTAGACAAACTTATAAGGAATCTTCCTTAGATATTTTCATATCTTAGATTTAAAAAGGAAATTTTTTATGAATTCTTAACTCAAAATAATTTGATAATTTTCGTGATTTTTCCTTGTTTTGTCAAGATTTGAACTTTAAATGCTTATAAAAAAAAAACTGTGACTAAGGATTATTAATATTTTTCAAATGTCAATGTAATAATATAGTAGGAGCCTTGTATTAAATTTTCAAATAGTTTTAATCAACAAATAAAGTTTTATTGATATTCATAGAAAAAAAAACTAATAAAATTGGAAACTGAAAATGTCCCTAAACAGTTCAAAATAAATTTAAATATTTTTAAAATTTGATCGTGTATAGAAAAAAAAACAGTGAAAATTTCATGTATTCACGGTCATTTGTTTTAAAGTTACACAAAAAGCAAAAATCGATTTTGTCAAAAACCGGTTTTGCCTAAAAATTTCCGTTTTTCCTTAATTTTTATTTTGTTTTTCCGGGTGCTATTGAAAACTATTTTAAACTTTGACCACCCAAAAGTACCAACTTGATTCATTTTCCCATCGAACAAGATACTGAAGTTGAAAATTGAAGCATTAATTCGACTACTTATCGTGTACACATGCACAAAAAAAAAAACACACATCATAGCAAAATAAATATATTCATCGTTCCACTCAGAATCTAAAATACACAGTCGCGGTATCGAAATATTACCATGGGCTTACCTAAAATAGATTTTTCCTGTTATAATAAATATAATAAAAACAAAAATAACAATTAATGTAGCCAATGTAGGTAGGTACACAGCTTCTAATAGTCGAATTATTTTTAAATAGTAAATAGCCATTATACATTTTTTAAAATATATTTTGAAGCATTTTACAAATATTTGGTCTTTTTGGGGCCAGGAAGTATAAAACATATATTTGAAGTTCAGTTTTCGAACAGTAAAAGATGTTTGATAGTTTCGGTTTTTAATTTTTATCATACCAAATTCGATTTTCAAACTGAACCGAACATCAAGGGATTGGTTTGGTTAGTTTCGAAATTCAAACAGTTCGGCCCATCACTAATTAAATTACAAGCTAACAGAAACTCAATAATACAATTTTTAATTTAAAATCTAAAATAATTTTTTTTTCATATTTTTGGAAAATTGGTATTTCAATATTAATGTAAATATTAACTCATAATAATAAATTTTAGATTCTGAGCAGAGCGATGAATGTATTACTATTTTCTGTACTTTAATCTTACGTCACTTTTAGGAGCAGTAAAAATGCCTTGGTTTTCCATTTTTAATGTTGTTACTGGTAAAAAAAATTAAAAAGAGTTGGTAGGTTCTTTGAAAGGTCTAAAATGAAAAACTAGCAGTACTAAAAATTACAGAAAATGAACAAAAATACAGTTATCGATAAATAGGAATTTTTACACAAAACCAGTTTTAGATTTCTTTCGATTTAATATTTATGTACAATTAAATTTTTGTTATTAGGTAAAAAAGTTTGAACATTCAATAAGAGATTTTTCATGCATTATTATAACTGGAAATTAAAAACAAAAGTGTATCAAAAAGCCACAAACAATGATATGAGAGTTATGTAATTGTGGTGAAATTAGATACTTAAACGAGTATTAACAATTTATCCTCCAAAATGTTTGGATATTTTGTTGTAATTCTAAAAATGTTAATCGAAATAAACTTGAAACATTTCACTATTATTTAAATTGTCATTTTCTATATACAATAAAATTTTCAAAATGTTTATAAAAAATGTATTAAATAACAAACTCCCCTATTTTTACTTTAGTGTAGACAACTATTTTATCATAATAGGGTTTTAATTAGTTATTTTAAATTTTCAAATTTAATAACATTAACTTCTATATAATAGTATGTATGATTAACATGTAGGTATAGTAAAATAAATAATACTTAACATGTACGTCATTATTACAACTAAAGCTACATAATATTTATTACCTACTTATAAATAATTGTATCTTAAATTTAACTTATTTACTAAACTGTCGTGCTCAGTGCTCAAATAATGCCATGAATTTAACCATAGGTGCAAAGTTCAGTGAAATGACTAATAAGCTTTATACAAAAGGTAAATTTGAATTAAAATTAATTAAAAAGAATTTCCATTGTTATACATAAATTTGTATAAAGACAAAATTTAATATATTATATATCCTTAAAATTTTATTAAGCTTTATTATTCTACAATTAATATATTTTTTTAACATATAAAACTTACCCAATATTTACAGGCGAACGACAGATGTCAATGTTGTCAGATAGTAAGCTACCTCCTGACGGGTTGGGTGAATACTGGGGTGAAACATAATGTGTATTACTTACATACTCGTTGGCAACTGTTGATATAAAAGACAGACATAAACATTAATTATAATAAAAGGTAAAAAGTAGTTAATCAGATAAATTACAATGTACACTAGGAAAAAGATATTATATAGAATTAAGATATTTATATAGGCCATTTAATATTGAGGTTCCGCAAGTTAATAAAATGTAAACTAAACCATTAAAATACTGTATAACATAAATCATAAATTTAAAAATTTTAATAATTATGAATTAACAAAAAAATATTTTTCTATGTACTAAATAAAACTTTTGAACACTTAAGTACATAAATATATATGAAAAAAATTTTAATCCAAACAAAACTTACTGGCTGAATCATTAACAATGTCTGTCTTTTCGTCCCTTGTAACATCAATTTTCAATGAATCATCTCCTAATGATTTCATATCATCCACTGTCATATAACGATATTGGTGTTGGTCATTCATCATTGGATCTTCATCTATCAAAAAATAATTAATTGATGTATATAATTATAATAACATACATTGTACATAAAAAAGAAATTCATAATATAAGAAATTATAAAGAAAACATACATTTATAAGAATTAAATTTTTTTAAATGGTCTACATCGTTGAAAATATTTAACATTCACTATCATTCACTCAAATCATTGATAAAATAATATAAACATAACAAATATGTAACATTCCAATTAAAAATCAAACAATAAAATATAAATCCAATACAACTTATTGTAATGTATGTATAATTAATAAAATTGTGGGCGCTATGTTTATTTGTTCAGTATTATATCTTATCTTGTTAATAACATGAACTTTAGTTCATTCAATACTAAATTTACAAAAATATGATTTTTTTCTTATTGGAACAATCTCATCAATTATTCAAAACAATACATTAGATAATTCTTCAAAGTACATAACCGGTTTAGATGGATTATTCATGATACAATAGATTTTTTAAAAACACAGCTGTTTCTGAAATGTTGATTAAGATTATTCATATCAACTTGGAACTACAAACAAATTACTCTTTGTGTATGTGTTACATATTTATGCATACATAGCATATATTATAGTAGTCAAATTAAACATTTGCATGGGTATTTGACTAAGGAAAATAGTTTTAATCAAAATGCATATTTTGCATAGACAATTAGTTAAAGCCTAGTCATTTAAATAAATTGAATTATTATTGTTTGAAAAATTATAGGTTAAACAATACATTATATTAGAACATAAACAACTTATATAACTAAATAAAGAATCTATTTGTTGTTACAAGTTATTAATAATTTGCAAGTTACTAATATTAGTTAAATGTCATAAAAAAATATAAATATGTCAACTTTACTAAGCTTGTCCATGTAAAATCGAATAATCATCATATATATATATATCTACAATTTTTAAAAAATATATTGAATCTAATTGAATCTAATTCTGTAAACAATAGTAATATTAATATATATGTAACAAAATAATAAGAACAATATTAACCTAAATATAGAAGGCAGTTTATTGTAGAAATGTTAAAAAATTATTTATTGTTTTCAAAATTAGTGACTTATTAGTTTTAAATGTTCTTAATGTAATAATAATCTAAATAACAAAGGATTTCAAGCTTTTTCATTATTTGTCTAGCTGATTATAGGTATTTAGGCAATAGTTACAAATGTTATTATAATGAATCATTGAAAATAATTATAGCAATTAATTACAGTTAGAATTTTTAATAAGTAAATATGTAAAATTGTAATTAATATAATATTGACTTTGAAGAATTATAATTTAGTCATTATTTTAAATATAGGTAATTTGTAATACACAGTACACCATTAATCATTGTACCATACTTGTATCAATGCATAAAACAAAATTACTATGGTATAAGTAAATAAACATAAGAATAAAATAGTACTAATAACTTGTATATAAAATAAAACATTCATAATACAATAAAATTGAGTCTTATAAAAAATGTATAAGATATTTTTATTTAAAACACAATGCCTCTTTAACTTAAAATAGCAAAATTTTAGCATGCAAGCATATTGTTAGTAGAATGGTTTAAAGTCACGGACCATGGTAAATGTATTGTTCCCTATACAAACACCTAATGCCAACAATAATTTTAAACAACCACAACATAATGTCATTAAACATTTCAGTATTAGATGCACACACCCTGAATCCTTTATAGAATGAACACAAATCACAATAAACGTTTAATGATGGTACCTACATTTGTTTGTCAATACACCAAAAATAAATTGTTATAAGGCCCTTGTTTTGTAACTTTAATAGCTGTTAATAATAAAATACAAACTGACTAAATAGGTACATTTGAAAATTATATTACTTGTTTATAAACTAAAAATATAGTGTTAAATGCAACACTTGCTTTATAATTTTAGATAATATATAAAGAAAAACATTTACATGAATTAATTTTTAACAATATTGTTAAGTAGATAGTCAGTATTTTTTATAAAAATATTTTTTTTTTAATATAAATGATTGAATTCTCAATTAATTATAAAAAGTAAGTCTCATTAATAGAATTTTGACTGTCAATTGATAATATTTATCAAGACTCTTAAATTAAATTTAGTTGAAATGAAAGCTATTATAAGCAAACACAATGCAAGCAATGCAATGTTAAAACTGATAGCATCAAGCAAAACATAAAACAGCGTGAGAACGTATTTTCCTATCTCTCATTTTTTTCTTTATTACAACTTACGTAGTACGTTTTGACCTTGATAGTAGGGAAGATAAATATGTTGCGCATGTGCCGGCTTGCCGTAATCGTTCATGATCACCGACAAGACATCATCACCACCTGTCTCAAATACGTATCCCAAAAAAGTAATAATGATAATAATTAACCCGATAAGCAAACCACCCAAGAGAAGCTCCACTTTATAACTTGATATGTTCTAAAGACATCTACCATTTAATTTTACAAATGCAGTTAGTAACAACAAAATATACAATATTTAGTTAGTTCAAAGCTTAAATTGATTCTACTAAACAAGAATTTTACGTTACCTCCTTCATCTTCCGAATCGGACATAAATGTTTCTTGCATTGACTCAGGAGCTATAACCTTATATTTTTCTTCAATAGTGCTAGTGGTTGTAGTGGTTATTGTTGTTTCAGAAACTACTTTTAATGTTTCTACAACACTAATGTATCCTAATTTATGAGCTATGTTTAATGGTGTTTGTCCTTGCTATATCATAAAATCAAATTATTTAATCACTTTTTATAGAAATTATTTAACATACAAATTATTTTACCATATTTTGAAGATTTGGAGATGCTTTGCTCTGAAGCAATAGTGTAATAACAACTGTATGGCCTTGTTGAGCAGCCTGATGGAGAGCTGTATAGCCAGACGATGTTTGAACATCTACAGCGGCACCTTTATCTAAGAGGAATCTCACCATATTGAGTTGACCGTAATGACTTGCTACATGTAAAGGTGTAAATCCAGTCTAAAAAATAAAATCATTCAAAAAAAAATATAAATCAAATACAATAAGTTTAGTTTTCTTACCTTAGTTGTTGCATTAATATTTGCATTATTGTCAACTAATACACTTGCAACATTTACTTTATCTTCTTGAGCACAAAGATGTAAAGGCGTCAAACCATTCTTCAATGACAAATATAATAAATAATAATGATTAATAAATTAAATATAAAAAAAAATTTGATTATCTAATGATAAACTCATCCGTCATACGATACCTTTGACTGCAGGTTGATTTCCGACTTGTGTTCCAATAACAGTTTAGACATTTGCTCATGACCTTCCTGTGCACTCAGGTGTAAAGGACTAAACCCAGCTTTAGACTCAACATTCGCATCTGACTCGTTCATCAACAGTGTAGAGGCAACATCCAACTGGAATACAAGTGTTACACAGATATGCTCCACCACACAAAAAACATACTACAGTGCAATATAGTTACCTGATTCTTCTTAGCAGCTATATGCAACGGTGTGTAACCATTTTTAGCTGCCATGTGTGGTGATGCTCCATTATCAAGAAGTAAGAATACCGTATCCTGGTGGTTATAGTGACTAGCCACATGTAACGGTGTAACGCCATTCTAATTAACAAATAAAATATAATCTAATTATCTAGAGAGAACTCTTTCATTATGCTTTATTTAAATGTCAAATATTAAATTGATTATTTATATAATATAATATTTAATGTATATTTATACATTCAAGGAATTAAAAATAACAACAGATTCTAATTCTATAGAGTATAATTTTTTTTTTTTATTAGTTTTAATTTCATTAAAAATATTTATATTCTATTTTTATAATGTTATATAACTCATTGTTTAGAGGTCTAAAAATTAGATTATAACACTTAATAAATAATGACATAAAACAAAGCTAAGTATTATTTCTATTGTTCTATTTTATATAGAACAGTTCTGTATTATTATTAAATTATAACTTTCAAATTACAAAATTGTTAATAGTAAAAACAAGACAGCAATTTTTGAAAGTCTGATGTTTTACCAAATAACTTGAAGATTTTTTTATTCAATATGACATGCTAATAATAACAAATCCTTTGTTTACAGTATTATTGTTTATTGATAATCAAAGAATTATTTCAACTAGTTATCAGTTATCTTGTAAAAAAACACATATCAATTCAATACATTCAGAATATAAATATATTAATATAAATTAATCCATATACCTATTTGATGATATATATTATATAAATTGGTTCATAAATTAAACTTGAAATTTATTTTTTAAGATTTTGCCATTTGTATTTTTTTTTATAGAACAATAAATTAAATATTCAACATAGTTATTAATTTTAATTTATAATTATTAAAATATTATACTTACTCTGCCTTGAGAATTAACTGGTGCCCCTTTTTCCAAAAGCATACTAGCCACAGCAATATTCCCATATTTTGACGCTAAATGAAGAGGTGTAAACCCTTTTTTAGTAGTCGACACTAAAGAACTTCCACTTTCCAATAAAGCAGTTGCCACTTCATCATGTCCTTCTTTAGCTGCGATATGCAAAGGTGTGTACAAATCGGTAGTTGTAGTGTCTACTGAAGCACCGTGTTGAAGGAGTAATGTAACAATCTGAGTATGACCAAGTCTACATGCAACATGAAGCGGTGTTTGGCCATGCCTAGCTTTGGAATCCACTGTCGCTCCAGAACGCACTAAGACTCTCACAAGATCAGATTGGTTAGCTCTAGCAGCCAAATGCAAAGGACTTTCTCCACGAACTGTACTGGCATCTGGGTAAGCACCATGACTGACTAAAACAAGGGCAATGTTCATACAACCCATGAAACTGGCAACATGTAATGGTGTTAAGCCAGACTAAAAATTAAAAAAAACATAAATATATAAATATATCTTTATACAAAAATATTTATAGTAAATAATAGATATTTGATAGCATTATTAAAAAAACCATACTTCTGTAGTTGCTTCAATAGACGCTCCGTGTTTTAGTAAAAGTTCAACCACTTTAATTCTATTCTTTTTGCAAGCTATATGAAGAGGTGTAAAACCATTCAATGCTCTAGCATCGGGATCAGCATGATGATCTAACAGTGTTTTTGCCACTTTTACATGCCCACAATGAGCTGCTACATGTAAACTGGTAAGATAATCAACAGTGACATCATCTACAGGGACTTTATAAGTTAAAAGTACTTTAGCTGCATCCACATGATCTCCTTGAGCTGCCATATGCAAAGGGGCTAATCCATTCTAAAAATGAAAATGTATCTAAGTTATAAGTTACTGTATATAATTAATAAATAACAAATAGTACCTTTGTTTTTAATGTTCTAGGAGTGTTGGTTTGTAATAAACGTTCAATAACGTGATCATGTCCAGACCTTGCTGCACAAGTGTAATGGGTAAGTCCATCTCTAGTCTTAGCTTCAATATTAGCACCCAATTGTATTAACAAATCAACCATATTTAATTTTCCCCATTTAGCAGCTACATGTAATGGTGTTATATTATGCTATTTATAAAAATATTACATTACATTTTCAAACAAAAAAGTGTGAAATTTATTACATACTTTAGCAGTAAAATTTACATCTGCCCCTCTTTGAACCAACATAGAAGCAACATTGTTATTACCATAGTGTGCTGCTATGTGTAATGGAGTAAAGCCACTTTTAGAAGTGACATCAGGATTATGATCATTCTAAAATACATATTTGATTTATGTTCATTAAACAGAATATGAATTAAATAAATGGATTTTAACCATAAGTGATAAAATATTAGTCTAAGTTAGCATAGTAAATTATATTATACAAATATTAAAATATAACTAAAAAAAACTAGTATAAATTCTTATTAAGTTTATCAAAACCTGTAGTAATAAGCTAGTGGCTTTAGTATCATCCTTCTTAGCAGCTATATGAAGAGCAGGTAGTCTTACTTTGCCTTTAGTATCATTTTCCAATAATATAGCAACAACTTTATCATGGCCTTGTTGCATGGCTACAGCTAAGGGTGAAAATCCATCCTAAAAAAAAAAATGTTGATGATTTATTAGTTTTTATGTTATTATACTTTAATATACTAAATATTAAATAATAATTTCAAGGGTTGTATAAGTTCTAGATTTTAACTTAAAAAGAAAGTCGAATGCTCTAGTTTTATGTTACTTGATAATTATTTTAACTAATAATTAAGTAGTAAAATTACAACATATTTAAAAAATTTTAAATTACTCAATAATTTTTATATTTTTGTTATTAATTTTCACCCAGGGTTGAATACTAAATATCAAATATAAATTTGTCTGTAACAATAACTGAATAAAATAATATTAGTCTATTTCAAGTATTTAGTAAACACAGCTGTTCTTGAATATACTCAGCTGTTTTGGGTACTTAGAAACAACAAGTACTTGATACTACTGTTCAAATTTAAAAAAAAAAGTTCTTATATAATTATTTATAGTTATTTTATTAAAATAATACAATATTTTAGTAACCTTGGATAAAGAAACTAAATATAATATTTGTATTTTACACATGAAACCATAATTATTAAACAAAACTTTCATGGTCCAATCACTAAAAAGTTCAATTAAGAACATTTAGCCTATATTTTCCGGATAACTATACATAATTTATTATTCAACACTAACAAGAGTAAATTGTTAAATGGGTCCAATTGTTAATAGGAACCTTGAACACAATCAACCTGGTTCTACCTACTATTTATTTATGAATGTCATTTAATTTTGTCTAAAATTATTACATACATAATATAAACTTTAATATATTTCACCTCAGTTACTAAAAGTTGATTAGCACCATTCCGCAAAAGTAATTCAACAATGCTACAATGATTTTCTTGCGCAGCCATATAAAGTGGTGTAAAACCACTATGCGATTGTATATTTATAGACGCATTATTTTCCACTAACACTTTGACAATTTCTTCTTGACCAGCTAAAATTGATTTTTAAATTAATTATTAAGTTTCCTAGCTATAGGTATACTAACATAATATTATAATGGTAGATATATTAAGGCATTAAAATGCTCATTAGCATGTACTTGCCTAATGATGCAATATGAAGTGCCGAATTTCCTTTTTTGGTTACTGAATTTACAGAACATCCTCTTTTTAATAAACATTTTACTATATCTACATGACCATCTTTTGCAGCCAAATGGAGTGCATTGAGTCCATTCTGTATTCAACATACACAAAAAGGTAACATACAAACACAAATGGTGAAAAACTGTAAAAAAAAAGGAAGAGAGATACTCACAGCATTTGCTGTATTCACGTCAACACCGGTACTTTCAAGTAATTGTAAAACTTTTTCTAAATTTCCTGATCTTGCAGCTCTTAAATATGAAGTTGCAGGATCCACCTAGAACATATAAATTAAAAATTATTATAAATGTAATTAATTTAGTATTAGTAAGTATAATTTTTCATTGATCAATTACATACCTAGTTCTAATTAGTTAAATAATAATTATTTATTTTTTAGTATTTATTTAATTCAAGTGAACTCGGTTTAACATAAACAATTTGGTAGGATTCAATGACCAATCATTGGTGGTAATAAGGGGGAGGGAACTTAGACCCTTAAAACTCTGTCAGGTCCCCACCAAATTAATTCCTCATCATCAAATAAGTACTAAGTAAAAATAATTTTTTTCTGATTTTTCCGTAGAAAATGTGGTAGAAAAATAAAAATGAATAATATGACAAGAAAATGTAATACTTTACATATATTATGTATGTTTATCAGTCGTGCATTTTACTTTGATTGTATTAATAGATATAAAATGGATATTGAATGATAATTAATGTCAACGATAATGTCATTGGTTTAAATAGTAATTTGTATGAAAATAATTATAGTTTGGTGGTGTAGGGGGTTATGCCCCACGTTTTTTTAAAAATATTACGGGGGACTTCCAAAACATGTAGGCTATTTACTAGATGCAAATAAATATTCCATTATAATTAAATAATAATACAAAGGAATTAAATTTAAAAAAATTAACTAAATTAAAAAACAGTTAAAAACTAAAAAAATAATATTAAGTTAATATCAGTTTAAGTTAGGTTAAATTACATAACCAACTATCAATCTACACAGCCTACTAAATTGGATCAATAACTTTCAAAATGCAGCTTTAACTATCTATTATCATTAGAGTATCTACTCAGAAACATATTTTGGAAGAAATAAATGTAACAAATAGTAAAAAAAACTTTTAATGAGGTTCTGTTAATGAATCAAGATTTTCAAGGAAGAAATTTGAGTTCAAGAGCGTTCAAGAAGTTACATGCGTAATATACAAGCGATACGTATCGGACTCAGACTTTGATACTAGCCCGTACGTAACTATTCCTGTCGGTTCGTAACTATTCCTGTCGGTTCGTAACTATTCCATATCGATACGTATCAAATTTTTCTTCTTGAAAATCTTCAATGACCTCCACTTCATGTGATTCATTCTTTTCTTTGTTATCCATGGGTATTACTTATTGTTTTTATTTTGTAAACAGATTGAATATATTTAAATTTAAAAAAAAAAATGTACAAAATATTTTTACTGTCTTTGAGCTGTATGTAGACATATTTTGAAATTCTCAACTACCTACTCTTTGTCTGATTTCGATTTAAATAACCTGATAAAACGTTATTAATGTTGTTTATCAGTTAAAAAGCTCGACAATTTAAATACAAGGTACCTCATAAGTTATATATATTTATATGAAAAATAAAGAGTTTTTCTCAAATTATTTTACTTATTTAGTTATAGGTAATTTCAAATATATTAATTTACTTGAAAATGTATGTATATTATTATTGTATAAAAAATAGATAATGATATTTTCATAATATTTTTACTAGGCCAATTATTATAAACTATTTATACCACGAAAGCTATTTAGTATTCACACTATATTACGGTAAGTCGCCGTCAATATAAAGGTTAACTGCGATGTTTTGGTCAAAAAATTAGTTTAATCATTGATTATAGATATGTATAGTATAATTTATAATATAATCAATGGTTTAATCTACCGAATTAAAAATAATAATAACGATATAAATATGATTTAAAATAAAAAAAACTTATAGATGCTGATACACTTTCGAAACCTACTATACCGCAACCGCAGAGCAAAATTCCCGTTATTGAAGGAAAGATCAAAATATTATTTAAAGTACTTCAAGTTTGTAATTTATCCAGGGAGTAAAAATATCAATTGAAATCTATTTTCTAGTGTAATTTTCTGAATGCAAATTCGCAACGTCATAAGACATAGAGAACTAGACAAGAGAGATGACACATGCGGGTGTGACGTCCTCTTAAATACATTCAAGAATAAATTATACGTATTTAATTTCAAATAATATATGAAAACAATATTATCCCTAACATTTTTTTCTTGTTTCTATAAATATCAAATTGATTAAAGATAGATAGGTACCTACGTAGTTTATATCTATAGAAAAATAATTACCAAGTTCATTTATAAAAAAATCTTGAAACAGCACATTTTTGTATCCCTGCCAATATATTTTAACTGTAACGTCTATATCTCGGCCTATACTCTATAGACTTATCTTATACTTTAGTTTAGTTATTGTATCCTTCCTCATTAATACATAATCGAAGTAAAACACTTGTAATATCCGGGGAGCAGGCATTTACGAACATACACAGAAACATATTATTTTAAAATTAGATTTTGATATCGCCTGTTTATATTAAATTAGGCATTACATCCGAATTTACTGAAATCGCTTGAAAATGGAAAATGAAGTTCACTAAACATCGATTTTAAAGCTATTTACATTAGGTAGGTACATACTATTCAATTTAAATTGAAATTAATTGAATGAATTTATATTATCTTTTTGTTAACTAAACAATAAAAAGTAATTAAAATGTAACCTCAATCTAAAAATATATTACGTTTTTCAAAACGATGTATTTGTTTCAATATCATATCATATATTTTAAAACGTATAAAAAATTCTTTGGGACTAAATTATTAACACAACTATTTAAATTTACCTAATTAATTTCATCGGATAAAAGAAAAAGGTTGATTATAATCGCTTTGCACACTTTACATGAAGTACATGGGGGTTGGCTATCAGGAAACTACACGGGTGGACTGGTAGAGAACTATTGAGCTGGTCGCGGACGCATCCATTGACCTAAATAAACTAGACTTTTATTCTCCATTACAAACGCGGATCAAAAAAAAAAAAAAGGAATATGTTACAGTCTAATGCTGCATACGTATAAAATAAATTATACAATATAATATTATAATACAGTTTGACAAATAATAATTTATTTAAAAAACAAACATGAAATATTAATTTTAATTTTAATAATACTCATAGCTAGAATGCTTACATTGAACACCTTTAGCTTCTAAATTGTGTAGGAGTCTCATTATCCTTGATCACAACATATAGCAACTATAATAATTGTTAAAAATATTTTATCGCATATGCAATAATATAATGTTTATACATGAACAGACGTCATCACGTATTCAACATTGCAGCTAATCATGAATGCTAGGCTACGATTTAAGATAATAAGAGAAATGAAGTATACATGTCGTCGAAACAATCTTCAAGAAATATAGACTTAAAGATTATATTATTATACAATGGTATATATAATATAATCTATAAGACTATAATAAAACGTTAAAATAATGTTTAAACACACAAATAAAATATAAATATGTATTGTTACATCTTACATTCTACATATCAGACGTTCTCAAACTTTTTTTAGCATACCTAATCCATATTATTATGTGTATTTGCGGATCAGTCACGTTCCACTAACGACTTAAATCGAACTAGGTATTCAACATTATTAATAAATTACCAATGTAAAATGTACAAATTGAGATCATCTCAAACTAGAATCTACATTGAATTATTTAAAAAAAAATTATTTTCATTTTAATATAAAATGTTTAAAATTAATTAATTATTAGTTTTAAATGTTTAAATTCATATTCAGTTTCTACATGCAATTGTGCTGTCATATATTTAAGCGGGATGCTATGATCCTATAGAGAATAATCTATACATAATACGAAAATAAATTATGTACTATAGTTAATACAGTGTTAATAATACTAAATAGTATTTATTTTGTACCCAAACAAAAGTAACGAGGACATTAGTTTCGCATCACAATTTAGACTAAACGACATCGTGTTTTTTATACAGAACATAAATCATTATGTTTATACTCTCAAATTAATACAATAATTTTATTTATTAGATTACAAGCAGATGTTGCTGAAGAACTATCAAATAAAAATATAAGTTCTGTAATTATATATTATACATATCAATTATATGTACATAATATGATTTCGTCATTCATTTTTATTTAATTAGGTTCTGCAAATATTAAATAAATACCGAAAATAATGATCAGATATTTATCAAATTAAATAATAGGTATGTCATGTTTATTGTCTTAAAAATATTATTTATATATTCTTAAATATTTATTAAATAAATGTAAATCCATAATATTAGTATTTACTTCAATAAATAAAAATGAATTAATATTAATTAAGTTTTGGTTCCTTGTATTCAGTCACATAACGTGTTCTGCGTGCAAGTACCGGTCGGTGTCATTAGTTCCCGGATGGATGACCACCCGGGTTTTTAGTGACAAATCCTTGCCACAGATACACCATTCACACACGTGTTTCAATCCAATCATACCCCTTCTCCTACAAACAGCTAATAGCCATAGTTACCGGGCTTATGAATAGTAAAAAAACATTCATTCCTCCATCAAAAAAAAATGATAAATACAATATAATATGTACCTAAATGTACGGTACCTACAGTCTACACATTAAATTATGGCAAAACTTTTGGATGAAATTTCAAAATTTTATTATATTATTGAGTATAATAATATCTAGGCATACACTTAAAATAATATAATTACTACCACAACTCACATGTGTAGTGAAACCCAATAATGTTAGCTGTTTTAACTTTTAACTATAGCGTGTACAGGCGACTATATTGATCGAATCGGAGACTAAAATACCTATATATTTATAGCTGGTATAACTTCAAATACAATGCACTGTCCAGGTGTATGTTTAAGGTCAAAGGGGGTGATCAATTTATTGTTTTCATGATAATATATAAATAATTTACCCCTGATACCTGTATACTACCAGAGTTAAAATATAAACAAAAATATAGTTTTTTTGTTATTTACCATAATATAGCATGTCATGATTCTTTATTCGAAGCGTATTTAAAATTCAAAGAATGTTTTCGAGGACATCTTTAAAAAGTGTGACATTTAAACGTTTAACTTAATTTTA